ACACAGTTTTCCCCCTTCTGTTTGAAAGGCTGCCTCACGTTTTATGTACAGTTTCCTCATGAGCACAATAAAGTTTTCTGAAATATCCATTCTTTGCTATATTATCCATAGCTTGTCATGATCTACACAATTAAAAGCTTTTGAATGTCAATAATTTTCAGTTAAACATCTTTCTGACATTCTCTGCTTTCAGCCAGAAACCATCTAACATCAACACTGATATCCAACATCCCATGTCCTTGTACGAATCTGGCTTGAAGCTCTAGCAGTTCCCTGTCACTATACAGCTGCAGCAGTTTTTAATTATCTTTAGAAAAAAAATTGACTTGCATGCAATACTAATGATATTGTCCAATGATTTCTGCTTTCTGTTGTGTCATCATTCTTTGGAATGGACATGGATATAGACCTCGTCTAATCAGTTGGTCAGGTAACTTTCTTCCAGATTTCTTTGCATAGATGAATAAGTGCCTCTAGCGTTGCATCAGTTTGTTGACGGATTTCAATTTGTATTCCATCAACTCCAAGAAACTTGATCTTTGCCAATTTCTTTAGTGCACCTTGGACCTTTTGTACTGTTGTACCTTTAGTACTATTGGCTCTTGATCGTATGTTACCTCTTTTTTTTTTTTAAGTTTTTATTTTGAATTGAGTGAAAGTTTACAGGGCAGATCATCAGTTTTATAGTCAACAAATCATATACTTTGTTTTATTACAAAGGTTATAATCTCCTCCATGTACCATCAGTTAACAGTATTTCTCTCTATTCATTTTAACTCTCTCTCTCTCTCTCTTTTTTAAAGCACTCAGTCATATATAATAATGTAAACCACCAAAAGGCACATTCTGCAAGTTTGCCTCCTGTCCACCAGCTCTCAATCTCTCTCTTTACATGAATCTAGAGTCCTCAGCTGTCCCCTCTTCCCATGTACCCATCTCTGCCTCCATCTTTGGTGTTACTGCTTCTCTGGATAAGGTCCCGTATTCTCCGCTTGTGCTCTTCTTCCTTGATGGCCCTAGGGTCCTCTTTTTCTGGACTGTAAGATTAACTACTCCCCTGTTTTCGTTACAAAACTTCTACCTTTACAATTGTGACAGTCTCAATTACACATGGTAACAATTACTCACTATTGAATCATAAGAATCTTATCCTCATCTCTTTTTACCAGACCCATCTAAATAAGATGAAAACTATTCAGTGGGGACTCTATCTTCCCCTA